ATTGCTTGTAACTAATTGTTACACATCAGTGCACATCAGTTGAAATCAGTTTTATATTGAACAGCTGTACAACCTACGGTTATTTTATTCATTAATTTTACAGAATTTATATGATAAATTTAGGGTATGATCTACATTGTAAATAATTTGTATATTATCTGTTGACATGAAACATGCCGTTTATTCATTATACATCTGAATTGATATTAATTAATTAATAGTAAGGGCAGGAGGACCGCACTACACACATAAGAAAAACCCACGGACACGACAAGCTACACAGACATTGTAAGTAGAAACAATAAATATCAGTATGCATCTAAATCAATATAAATTAATTTATAGTAAGTGCAGGAGGACCGCACTGCACACAAAACAAAACTGATGAGACAAACCCACGGACACGCAAACTACACAAACATTTCATGTAACATACAACAAATATCAACAAGGCTCTACAAGGGGGATAAAACTTCGGAAAAGCGAAAAATTAATTTAAAAAAGAAAATGGGCAAATAATAATAAGATATGATAGACGGTAATTGGTGTGGTTTCGGTTCCCCGCTTGTACGTGACAAGGAGTAGGGTCGCCTGGCCAACGTCGTTGGTTTTCTCTGGGTCCTCCGATTCCGCCCCACAGCGTAAACACTCCTACACGCAATACAAGAGAATTATTGAAATAAAATCGAACCATGTGTTAGCCCCGGAATGAGCTATTTTTTGTCTAGATGACGTTGTCTCTCTCTCTCTCTCTCTCTCTCTCTCTCCCTCTCTCTCTCTCTCTCTCACACACACCCACACACACACCCACACACACACACACACTCAAACACTAATATTAGTCTTGAAATTGGTTAATACTGTCATCGCTAAATTTGTACATAAACTAGAATCATCTGATTCATATTTTCACCCTGACGTCCCCTATTGGGGCCAGACTCAGCGATCCCCGGCTCTGCTGTTTATTACAGTTCTTTAGCAGTGGGAAAAGGACCCGTAGAAAACCCACGAGGTTAGTCGGACGACTATAGTTGTGGGATCGAATTTACGTCAATTGACTCAATACCCTAGAAAGGTAAGTCAGTAACATATGACACTCGTTAATAAAAAGATTTCATCACCACAATAATATATTAATCACCCATCAGGATACTTATTCAAGTAACATTAAGTTGTGTTTGACCTATATCGTTTGATCATGCCTTGTCAAAATAATGTCATAATATTTTAAAAACATATGTTGAAGTGGTGAAAATTATAACTATATTAGATTTCATTGGAAATTTTACTGTTTTGGTGTGTTTCAGTGAATTCAATTTATATGTATTATATAATATTTTGTTGAAGCTGTGAAAATTACGGTTAATAACTTTTTTATTGTTTGTGTTCGTCAGTGAATTTTGTTAAAGGTTACGTTTAATATTAGATTTCACCCGAATCGTTACTGTTACGGTTTCTGTGCTTCGGTTAATTCAGTTTTGATTTGGATTTGGAAAGAACTGATGACACAAAATAACCATCATGACAAGGTAAGAAATAGTTGAGAATCAGGAAGCATTTGTGTAGTATATATATTATCTTACAGTAACTTGTTGGATGGGGACGGTGAAATGAAGATAGGTTATCTGACATTTGAAATGTGTCTGATTGATATTTAATTTGAATAAATAGGTCATTTCATCTGTTTTCATATATCAGACTCTAATTTCTGAATACAAGACCCACCCTATACACGAGTCTTAGTCGTACGCAATCAGAGTTGGCATCGGGGAATCAAAAAACACTAAAACACTACACGCCAGAGAGAGAGGGAGAGAGAGAGAGAGAGAGATGGGTCAATTTTTTTTAATACTAGGGGTCGTTTGCAGTCGGACGAATGGTTTAATCAATAGTTTTAGATTCAGTTAATTTTCTGATATGTAAATTTTCTGGCCTGCGATCATTTCATTACGAAGCTACGGCGGATCAGTGAAAAACCGAGGTCCCGTGTATACATTGGCGTGCACGTAAAAGATCCCTTGGCGGTTGGAATTCGATGTAAGAGTAGGTCGTAGCGCAACTGTCCGGGCAAAAGTTCCCTATTTGCATACTGTATGGCGTATGCCCGTCGGAGCAGAACAGTAGGACGCTAACCCTTATTTCGTTTCATTTAATTTCTTAGTTTTTTAGTACACACTGCGACACTCTTAAAAAAAGGTGGGGGGAGGTAACGTTCTCTTGACACAAACTAGGTCATTCGAGGACCTAGAGAAAACCCCCGTCAATGGGAATCAAAACCCTCGCCACGTGACCGAATGACAGACCCTATGATCTAAACCACAAGCCTTAAACATTTCGTCCCCAACCCGATACCTTACAATGTAAGTAGGTTAAACTAGAAGTATATATATAAATAATATATAACAACTTAAAACCTATTTATACACGTAATATTATGTTATAATTACTTGAACCAGAACGCAATCATAAATAATAACTCACGGCAAGAGATGGAGTTTAACGTCCTACTGTTCTGCTCCGACTGGGCTAATGAAGGCAGCGGCAATGTGGCCTACTCTTATATAGAATTCCTATCTTTTTCGTGCATGCACGGGACCTCGGTTTTTTCGTCCATCCGAACGACTAGACAGCTGTCCTTGTTAGGAGGCCCTCCGTTCTGCATCACTTACCCACTAGGTTGAACAGTCAACCCTACTGCCTTTCGCGTGAAGAATGGAAACCATGCGTTAAACTACGACGTATTTAGCCACTCAACTCGTGGTAAAAAATGATAAGCGAGTTTAAGGTGTATAAGGTTTATGGTCCACTGCCCAATTCAACAAGATACCCATTATGTTGCGTTATAGCCCACTGCACATGTCCATATACAACAGCAATATAACTCTTCGGTCGTCAAGACCATCCAATAAAGTGAATATTTTAACAGTTACTAGACTCGAGAAATCGCACAGGTAGGTCCGATTTTATTTGTTTCTATTGTCTTTCTTTTGCTCTTGATGGTGGTGGTGGTGGGGGGGGGGGTACGAAAGAAGGGATATTATTAACTGGACTAATAGTAGGGGGGGGGGGTACGAAAGAAGGGATATTGTTAACTGGACTAATAGATTGGTGTAGGGGGTGAGGTATGGATATCTTTTATTTATTTATAAGATTTAGATAATGGGCTGACAGTTCTCGCAATAATAGTTAAACTCTACATAATCTACACAATGAGAAGGCTAAATCAATTGATATTTTCAGTCAAATTACTTCTGTAGTTAAATCAGACTGAAATTATTAGACACTTACCAACCGTAACTAAACTTGCCAGTCAGGTCTGGAAATAATGATTGTACCGTATCAAAACTTGCCAGTCAATGATTGTAGTTGTAAAACAATGACAGGCACTAACAAACTCTCTGCAACTTTTTGTTTTATATTAAAGATGCATTTTGTAAGATTTAGCTAAAGAGTTGGCAGTTCTCGCAATAGTAGTTAAAGGAGCTAAATCGCATATATTTTGGACTTAGAAATTGACACAAATGGGTCGCAACGCATACAATAATGTAATATGAATGTATATAAATTGATTTACATTCAATCGTTTCTGTTTTTACTGTAATTTCTAATCAGTTAGGTTCGGCAAAATACGCCAGAGTCTCAATCGAATGGCAATCTCTAGCGTCTGGTTATTCCAGTCTACGCCAATAGTATTCATTGCGCATGCTCTCCAGATAAGAATATAACGTCACCGTTTGACATGACTTGTGGAATAGGCCTAGCCTCGTTTTTCAAATCCTTTATTACAAATAGCGCTGAAACGCATTATGGTACACGATTCTCAAAAGGCCATCTTTTCCCGGTAAGATCACATCAATGTTGATGTAAACCGACAAATAATTCGTGATTTCAATGGACGATACTGAGTTTGAGACTTAGCTACTTTAAAAAATAGATAATAGAAAGGCACTATGTTGAAAATTTCAGTCATATTACTTCCTTCTGAGTTGGGGCTGTAATAGTAAAACTTTCTGGAACTTTTTGCTTTACATTAAAGAGACATTATGTAAGATTTGTTATTGCTTTTGTTACGATAGTAAGCAAGGTCTCGATTATCCATGTTTTTAATCGTGTTTAAATCCGTTGAAAATCTCGAACATCAGAAAGACCTGCAATATGTAGATGTGTATGTATTTATGTATGTATATATGTATGTATGTTGGCCCATCTCGCTTCTTCGTCGCGCCCGCCCCCACATCTAGGTGTTATCAAAGTAAATGGGCATTAGGGGAGATTAGATAAAGAGCTGCTGATAGTTCGCCCTATAATCGTTAAAATATAGATAATGAAAACAAAATATGCTGAAAATTTCAATCAAATGGATTCACTCTGAACCGAGATATTAGCCATTGAATTTTCGGCTAGTCTCGATCGTCATTACTGACGTTGGTATGATAACAAACTAAGTCTCGATTATCCATTTATTCGTTAAATTATCCATCACAAAATATATTCAAATCCAGTAAATATCGTAGGCTAACGATGGCATCGAGAGTTGATTATGGTCTGGATAAGTTAATTGTCCGGGCAGCAGCATTATGGCCTACTCGAATTCCAACTGCTAACGGATCTTTTTCGGGCATACCAATGTATACACGGGACCTCGGTTTTTCGCGCCATCCGAACGACTGGGCAGCTGTCATTGTCAGGTTCTCCGCCCTGCACCACTGACAATGGGAAACCACGTCGGAAAGTCTCGATGGACTTTCTCGGTCAATGCAGGGATCGAACACGCGACCTCCAGGCTAGCGAGCCAGCGTCTTACCCGCTTAGCCAACGTGGCTCCCTATAACAGTTAATTAACCTATGATAATATAATTTTATGTTTAAAGAGAACAGGTGTATTCATATCTCGTAACCGCACCTTTAGATTAGTATTTCATAATAATAGTCACCTGTTTATTACAATATATTATGCATGGGGACCCAATATCCGTGCATATTGTATTTAGTTGTCTTGTTGCTTGTGTTGACAGAATACTCAAGATGATGTATGACGATTTGTTGAAGAAGATAGGAGAGTTTGGGTGGTATCAGAAACGAATATTTGCCGTGACATGTATGCAGCCATTTACATCTGGATTGCTTTTATTGATATCAATATTCACCATGGCAACGCCATCATACAGGTACAAGTAAATTAATATTCAATAAACAAAAAACAAATAGATTGACCTTGGGTGTCAGCTATGGCAGGGCATTCTTGTTTTATGTTGACTTCTTGGCACTTTGTATTCTGTTAACATTGAATTTGCTGAAATGGGGAAGTCTGCCTTTAAAAAGTGTTAATGTCGCCATGACGATATTTGATTGGAATTGGTGCATCTCTCTAAGCTTCAATAATATGCCAGAGCATTCTCACTTTATACTGACTTATTGGCAAACAGGGATTTTACTAATCAGATACATTGGTAAACGGTTGGAATTAAATAATTGGGGTCAAAGTTCACTAATCTAAATTCCGTCAACCAGTGGCAATACTCACTGCTCACTCACTAGGCAGACAATGGAGTCTATGACGTTTTAAAATTATCCACGTGACCCTCTTAAGTCAGGTGGTAAATTATCTTAGGCATAGATAAAAAGCTGCCCGTTCCTGCTAAAATAGATTAGAATAAATGAATGTAAGTCTACAATTCAAAAATATAGTGGTCGTCTTCACCATATTGTTGATGGCTATAATATGCCTGCGATCTTATGAAATCGTGATTTTAATGGTGGAGTAATCGTGGTGATCCTATCAGGTCTTATATATTGAGGTCTGTCGTAGCAATCTTGTTGATTGTATCGAAACATATCCGAAAGTATCTGCACATACCAGATCTTGGACTCAATAATGGTAATCCTATAGTAATACATCGCACGACAGTGTTAACCTAGTACATATGGCCACAGACCACTAATGATTTCCCCCATTGACTTTAACGTTAATTCTCGTTTCTAAATTGGCTCTAACTTTTCACAAAATTTTCGTTGGGGAGAACGCTTTCTGCCAAAGATGGAGCAACATGTAGCAAACTTTTGTCCAAAAGCACGTGTGAGGTTCTTCATGAAAAACTTGAGATACACAAGCTGGAAAGAGAGACAAGTAAACATGCAATTGTCGGCCCTACATTTCAACCTAACCAACCTCTCAACTCTTGTATCCTTCCACCTCAAAATCATGAATATTCACCAAAACCTGGCAGAAAATGTATTTTCGAACCCTTTTCTTCGATTCTACACCAAAAAGTCGCCATGCAAAAGGGGGAAAAAGGGAAAGGGAGAGAAAGACTAAAAATAACTTTGGCCCTTGTGACGGCGTAGGAATATTTGGTGGTCTGTCTCCATATCAAGTTGATCAACCTGGTGCTTCCGTTGTATCAGAATGTAACGTAGAGTATGGAATCTCAACCACAAGTTTACCCAATCCAGCATCCTGTTTTATTCATAATTTGAAAACAAATTAATTCCGTTTTTAATAAACACAACCTTTAAGGTCACGTTGTTACCACGGATCCAGCCCACCAATTATTCCTACGCTGCTTACCCACGAAACAAGGGGCAAAGTTATTTTTAGTCTTTCTCGCCCTTTCCCTTTTCCCCCCTTTTTGTGTTGAAGTTTTGGTGTAGAATCGAAGAAATATGCATTTTCTGTCAGGTTGTGGTGAATATTCATGATTTTGAGGTGTTAAGGGGTTGGTTAGGTTGAAATATTGGACGGAAGATTAAAGGTATATGGTCTCTACTTCCAGAATTTGTATCTCAAGTTTTCCATGAAGAACATCATACGTGCTTTTGGGAAGGAGGGCGCCATATGTTGCTCCATCTGTACTGTGGTAGAAAGTGTGTATAAACTATTGGTTAGAATCAATCTGATAAAACTTCAGATCCCGTTTCGTTTCGTTATTCGGTCGTACGTGACAAGAAGTAGGGTCGCCTGTCCAACCTCGTGGGTTTTCTCCGGATCCTCCGGTTTCATCTCACTGCTAAAGACCCCTACGCGCAAGCGAATTATTGAAATAAAATTGAACCCTGTATTAGTCCCGAAATGACCTAATTTGTGTCGAGTGGACGTTAAACCCCATTTTTCTCTCTCTCTCGTTTCGTTTTTATAGTTCATAATTTCGTTTTAATTGTCCTCTCTACACTAAGATCTGAAAGAAGATTAAATAATTCACATTCTGGTTTATATGAGGGATTAGCCAATCAAATGGTCGGTTGAGTCAAGTTTTTGTCATCTAGCACGAGGACATTCGTCACGATAGAAAACAAATAAAATCAAAAGTAGTATTCCCGAATGCCCACTCGTATGACTCCTGACACGACCTCCCACTACAGACTCCTGACACGACCTCCCACTACAGACTCCCGACACGACCTCCCTCTACAACCGGCCAGATCTTAATGTAGTGGAGGCCATGGAGAGTATAAAAAAAACGAAACGAAATATAGATCTGTATTTTAATTAGATTGTGATAGACATAACTTCCTGTTTTATGGAATCAAGATTTATATTTTAATAATTGAGTAATGGGAATGTCTATATTTTACAGATGTTCAATACCAGGATATAAAAACGACACCTACCATCAACAAAACCATTACCATGGTTACCTAATAAATCAGTCTATACCACAATCCTCTAGCTGTCTTCTACGTAATACTACAGTTGACAAATATGGTAATATGACGTCATTAGAATACAAGTGTAGGTCCTGGGTGTATGATACCTCCATCTTTACATCAACATTTGTCACTGAGGTAATACGCTTGTCGATAGTTTATCACGTTATTTGTCACCGAGGTTATACTCATGTCGATAGTCTATCACGTCATTTGTCTCTGAGGTAACACGCATGTCGATAGTTAATCACGTCATTTGTCACTGAGGTAATACGTATGTCGATACTCTATCATGTCATTTGTCACTGAGGTAATGCGCATGTCGATAGTCTATCATGCCATTTGTTACTGAGGTAATGCGCATGTCGATAGTCTATAACTAAGGTAAACGCAGGTAGATAGTCTATGATGTTTGTCACTGAGGTTGTGATTTATCACTAGCATTAAAGTTGAACGCACGCCCTTTAGATCCTAAGATCTACCATTGAGTCAAATGGTGTTTTATATATACAATTAGACCATACTTTAGCCCAGAAATGATCTAGTTTGTCGATACTTTACAGTGGGAGGAAACCGGAGTACAGGCGACCCGGTTGGCAGGCGATCCTACTCCTTGTCATTTACAAGTGTGGAATGACTCAGTGGCAGACCTTGTGATTTCACGCGCACGCGTTAACCCCCCCCTCCCCAGCTCGCACTAGAGCCACCCACGGTGGCTAACCTAAAATTGAATCGCTAATAACTGGGTTTTCAGTGAAGCAATTTGACTGACATTTTCAGTATAATAGTCATTTTAATTATCTATTTTTTAATTATTATACCGAGAACTGTCAGCTCTTTAACTATTATAGCAAGAAATACCACCTCTTTAACTATTATAGCAAGAAATACCAGCTCTTTAACTATTATAGCAAGAAATACCAGCTCTTTAACTATTATGGCAAGAAATACCACCTCTTTAACTATTATAGCAAGAAATACCACCTCTTTAACTATTATAGCAAGAAATACCAGCTCTTTAACTATTATAGCAAGAAATACCAGCTCTTTAACTATTATAGCAAGAAATACCAGCTCTTTAACTATTATATTATAGCAAGAAATACCAGCTCTTTAACTATTATAGCAAGAAATACCACCTCTTTAACTATTATAGCAAGAACTATCAACTCGTTAACTATTATAGCAAGAAATACCAGCTCTTTAACTATTATAGCAAGAACTATCAGCTCTTTAACTATTATAGCAAGAACTATCAGCTCTTTAACTATTATAGCAAGAACTATCAGCTCTCTAACTATTATAGCAAGAAATACCAGCTCTTTAACTATTATAGCAAGGACTATCAGCTCTTTAACTATTATAGCAAGAAATACCAGCTCTTTAACTATTATAGCAAGAAATACCAGCTCTTTAACTATTATAGCAAGAACTATCAGCTCTCTAACTATTATAGCAAGAAATACCAGCTCTTTAACTATTATAGCAAGAAATACCAGCTCTTTAACTATTATATTATAGCAAGAAATACCAGCTCTTTAACTATTATAGCAAGAAATACCACCTCTTTAACTATTATAGCAAGAACTATCAACTCGTTAACTATTATAGCAAGAAATACCAGCTCTTTAACTATTATAGCAAGAACTATCAGCTCTTTAACTATTATAGCAAGAACTATCAGCTCTTTAACTATTATAGCAAGAACTATCAGCTCTCTAACTATTATAGCAAGAAATACCAGCTCTTTAACTATTATAGCAAGGACTATCAGCTCTTTAACTATTATAGCAAGAAATACCAGCTCTTTAACTATTATAGCAAGAAATACCAGCTCTTTAACTATTATAGCAAGAACTATCAGCTCTTTAACTATTATAGCAAGAACTATCAGCTCTTTAACTATTATAGCAAGAACTATCAGCTCTCTAACTATTATAGCAAGAAATACCAGCTCTTTAACTATTATAGCAAGAACTATCAGCTCTCTAACTATTATAGCAAGAACTATCAGCTCTCTAACTATTATAGCAAGAAATACCAGCTCTTTAACTATTATAGCAAGAAATACCAGCTCTTTAACTATTATAGCAAGAAATACTAGCTCTTTAACTATTATAGCAAGAACTATCAGCTCTTTAACTATTATAGCAAGAAATATCAGCTCTTTAACTATTATAGCAAGAACTATCAGCTCTTTAACTATTATAGCAAGAACTATCAGCTCTCTAACTATTATAGCAAGAACTATCAGCTCTCTAACTATTATAGCAAGAAATACCAGCTCTTTAACTATTATAGCAAGAAATACCACCTCTTTAACTATTATAGCAAGAACTATCAGCTCTTTAACTATTATAGCAAGGACTATCAGCTCTTTAACTATTATAGCAAGAAATACCAGCTCTTTAACTATTATAGCAAGAAATACCAGCTCTTTAACTATTATAGCAAGAAATACCAGCTCTTTAACTATTATAGCAAGAACTATCAGCTCTTTAACTATTATAGCAAGAACTATCAGCTCTTTAACTATTATAGCAAGAACTATCAGCTCTTTAACTATTATAGCAAGAAATACCAGCTCTTTAACTATTATATCAAGAACTATCAGCTCTTTAACTATTATAGCAAGAACTATCAGCTCTTTAACTATTATAGCAAGAACTATCAGCTCTTTAACTATTATAGCAAGAAATACCAGCTCTTTAACTATTATAGCAAGAACTATCAGCTCTTTAACTATTATAGCAAGAACTATCAGCTCTTTAACTATTATAGCAAGAAATACCAGCTCTTTAACTATTATAGCAAGAACTATCAGCTCTTTAACTATTATAGCAAGAAATATCAGCTCTTTAACTATTATAGCAAGAAATACCAGCTCTTTAACTATTATAGCAAGAAATACCAGCTCTTTAACTATTATAGCAAGAACTATCAGCTCTTTAACTATTATAGCAAGGACTATCAGCTCTTTAACTATTATAGCAAGAAATACCAGCTCTTTAACTATTATAGCAAGAACTATCAGCTCTTTAACTATTATAGCAAGAACTATCAGCTCTTTAACTATTATAGCAAGAAATACCAGCTCTTTAACTATTATAGCAAGAACTATCAGCTCTTTAACTATTATAGCAAGAAATACCAGCTCTTTAACTATTATAGCAAGAAATACCAGCTCTTTAACTATTATAGCAAGAACTATCAGCTCTTTAACTATTATAGCAAGAACTATCAGCTCTTTAACTATTATAGCAAGAAATATCAGCTCTTTAACTATTATAGCAAGAAATACCAGCTCTTTAACTATTATAGCAAGAACTATCAGCTCTTTAACTATTATAGCAAGAACTATCAGCTCTTTAACTATTATAGCAAGAAATACCACCTCTTTAACTATTATAGCAAGAACTATCAGCTCGTTAACTATTATAGCAAGAAATACCAGCTCTTTAACTATTATAGCAAGAACTATCAGCTCTCTAACTATTATAGCAAGAAATACCACCTCTTTAACTATTATAGCAAGGACTATCAGCTCTTTAACTATTATAGCAAGAAATATCAGCTCTTTAACTATTATAGCAAGAAATACCAGCTCTTTAACTATTATAGCAAGAACTATCAGCTCTCTAACTATTATAGCAAGAAATACCAGCTCTTTAACTATTATAGCAAGAACTATCAGCTCTCTAACTATTATAGCAAGAACTATCAGCTCTCTAACTATTATAGCAAGAACTATCAGCTCTCTAACTATTATAGCAAGAACTATCAGCTCTCTAACTATTATAGCAAGAAATACCAGCTCTTTAACTATTATAGCAAGAAATACCAGCTCTTTAACTATTATAGCAAGAAATACCAGCTCTTTAACTATTATAGCAAGGACTATCAGCTCTTTAACTATTATAGCAAGAACTATCAGCTCTTTAACTATTATAGCAAGAACTATCAGCTCTCTAACTATTATAGCAAGAAATACCAGCTCTTTAACTATTATAGCAAGAAATATCAGCTCTTTAACTATTATAGCAAGAACTATCAGCTCTCTAACTATTATAGCAAGAAATACCAGCTCTTTAACTATTATGGCAAGAAATACCAGCTCTTTAACTATTATAGCAAGAAATACCAGCTCTTTAACTATTATAGCAAGAAATACCACCTCTTTAACTATTATAGCAAGAACTATCAGCTCTCTAACTATTATAGCAAGAACTATCAGCTCTCTAACTATTATAGCAAGAAATACCAGCTCTTTAACTATTATAGCAAGAAATACCAGCTCTTTAACTATTATAGCAAGAACTATCAGCTCTTTAACTATTATAGCAAGAAATACCACCTCTTTAACTATTATAGCAAGGACTATCAGCTCTTTAACTATTATAGCAAGAACTATCAGCTCTTTAACTATTATAGCAAGAAATACCAGCTCTTTAACTATTATAGCAAGAAATACCAACTCTTTAACTATTATAGCAAGAACTATCAGCTCTCTAACTATTATAGCAAGAAATACCAGCTCTTTAACTATTATAGCAAGAACTATCAGCTCTCTAACTATTATAGCAAGAACTATCAGCTCTCTAACTATTATAGCAAGAACTATCAGCTCTCTAACTATTATAGCAAGAACTATCAGCTCTCTAACTATTATAGCAAGAACTATCAGCTCTTTAACTATTATAGCAAGAAATATCAGCTCTTTAACTATTATAGCAAGAACTATCAGCTCTCTAACTATTATAGCAAGAAATACCAGCTCTTTAACTATTATAGCAAGGACTATCAGCTCTTTAACTATTATAGCAAGAACTATCAGCTCTTTAACTATTATAGCAAGAAATATCAGCTCTTTAACTATTATAGCAAGAACTATCAGCTCTTTAACTATTATAGCAAGGACTATCAGCTCTTTAACTATTATAGCAAGAAATACCAGCTCTTTAACTATTATAGCAAGAAATACCAGCTCTTTAACTATTATAGCAAGAAATACCAGCTCTTTAACTATTATAGCAAGAAATACCAGCTCTTTAACTATTATAGCAAGAAATACCAGCTCTTTAACTAGTCTAACTTAATCCTCCTTTAAACAAAGAGAATGAAAAGAATTTGTATTTATTATGAAACAGTTTAATATGGTTTGTGATAATGCATGTTTATTATGAAACAGTTTGATATGGTTTGGGATATTGCATGTTTATTTTGAAACAGTTTGATATGATTTGTGATAATGTATGTTTATTTTAAAACAGTTTGATATGGTTTGTGATAATGCTGTTCTAAAGAGTAATGCTGTAATGGTTCTATTTCTGGGATTGTTATTTGGATATGGCCTTTTGGGCAATGTGGCTGATCTGTAAGTTCATAAAGCTACTTTTAAGATGCAAGCTTTCTTTAACTTTGATGGTTATATTCCTCGGATTGTTATTTGGATATGGCCTTCTGGGTAATGTAGCTGACCAGTAAGTTCATAAAGCTATTTTCAGAAGGCAGGCGCTTAAAGCTGAACTCCGATTACAAAACTGCAGAAATAATTAAATAAAAATGGGTTTTACCGTCCACTCGACACAAACCAGGTCATTTCGAGACTAGCATATGATTCAACTATTTTATTTTAACAATTCCCTTACCCGTAGGGGTCTTTGGCAGTAAGAGGAACCCGTAGAACCCGGGACAGGCGACCCTACTCCTTGTCACGTACAAGCGGTTTATCGAAACAACGTCAGACCTTTTGGTTAAACCACTAGACCACCCAACCACCCACTGACCTAATAGAACACCCTGCCACTCCTACTAATTATACTCTTATGTGTCTTTTATAGACAGGGGTGGGATGGGGGCTGACGAAAACACCCACGTGGATGGACAGGCGACTTTACTCCAATGAATAAAAACCAAGAATATATAGTTTTAATTAGGCGTATTTTGAAATTTAATATTGAAAACTTATTTTATATCTCCATATATTTAATCATTACCAACTGACCATATATTTCCATAAGCATTAATTATTTTCAGATTTGGTCGTAAACCGTTAATGGTAGTATCGAACTATGTGTTTGTGATTTGTGCGTATCTCATGGTTTGGTCACCTAATTACATAGTACTATTAGTGTTGAGATTTTTTCTTGGACTCTCAGTAAGTGGACAGGCTCTTACTTGCTATATAATTGGTAGGTTTCAATTTCTTGTAATTTACATCTTAAATTTTTTAATTGCTGCTCCAGGGACGAATCCGATTCTGTAAATGATTTTTTTTATAGATAAATCTATGTAACTTTTGTGTAATTTCAATATTTTTATCGACGGTCTAATGTAACCTTGAGATTGAACAGTCTTTGTCTTTTAAAGCCTATATTTTACTAAATAGCTAGCCGAGAACAGAGGCTAAGCACAAGGGATTTCTCCCCCCCCCCCCCCTACCACAACCTCAGGGAAATCGTTTCCAGTGTTGACCTAGAAGGTGTGAGGAGACCGTAGCACCGTTGTCCGGGCACAATTTCTCATAGGACACTGTATGGCACTGTTGGCGCAGAAATGTATTTGGGACTGAACAGATAACTACTTACACCATAGACGTGAACTTTCTGGTATCTGTCATAATTCCAAGACGTCATGTCCGGTGCATATAGAATTTCAAGTAAAGAACGATTTTGCATGTATATATTTGTTATCTTTATAGGGGTAGAATTGGTTGGTCCATCTAAAAGACGATACACTGGTGTAATATCAAACTTAACATGGTGTCTTGGTTTGTTCATGATTTCATTATTTGGCTATCTCATCAGAAATTGGCGATATTTACATCTCACTGCGGCCATCTTTTCAACACATCTCTTGTTCTTTTTTCTGTAAGTTAGAAGTGTTTTTAATAAATTAAATACTATAAATGTGATTTTATAAATTCGAAAAAAAACCTCGAATAAGCATTAATTGTTTTCAAATTTAGTCGTAAACCGATAATGGTAGTGGGGCGTGGGATGGCCGAATGGTTAGCGCGTGCGCGCTGTACCATAAGGTCTGTCATGGAGACAACTGGCATGGTTTCGATTCCCTGCTTGCATGTGACAAGGAGTAGGGTCGCCTGTCCAAACTTGTGGGTTTTCTCCGGGTCCTCCGGTTTCCTCCCACTGCTCAAGACCCCTACGCGCAAGCGAATTACTGAAATAAAATTGTACGATGTGTTAGTCCAGAAATGGCCTGGTGTGTGTCGAGTGGACGTTAAACCCCATTTCTCTCTCTCGTGGTAGTTTTGGACTATGTGTTATGTGAGTTGTGCGTATCTAATGGTTTGGTCACCTAACCACATAGTACCGAATACAAAAAACTTGTAGAATAAAATTAATCACGGCTGAAATATAGACTCATTTTACAGAATAATTCCAGAAAGTCCACGTTGGTTATTAACTAAAGGTTATACGGTCAAGGCCAGGAAAATAATAACCAAAGTTGCTGAAGTTAACAAGAAAATAATAAGTGAAACAGTTATTGGTACAATAAAAGTTCCAGCAAATATTACAACTGCTAAATTCTGGAAACTATGTTCAACTAAGAAACGGTGTCTAAGAACTTTTGTTATTTATTTCATGTGGTAAGTTATCCCTATTCGTATTAATTTAGAAAACTTATAAATGTCTGGGTAGAATATAGGCACATCAAATAGATGGTTTGTTACCAGGCAGAATAGACACATCAAATAGATCCGTTTGCCGGTTGAAGAGATACATGTCCGTTGGAAATCTGTCCGTAGGCCTGTCTTTATTTCCATCTTCACTATAATCAGGGAAGTAGAACGTTAAACCCCATTTCTTTTCATTTCCATGATCGACTTGTTTGAACAATCAACGGAAACGACTCGGGTCCACAATTATCGACCAGTGGCGGACTATCCAGGTTGTCAGCTTGCCCAATAGCAAGTGGGCCTCTGAGGAAGTGGACCCCTTAGACATTAGACAATATATTTTATAATATAAATTATCAAAAAATATATAAATATTGAAAAACATTATTAGCTTGACAATATTATAAAAGTTCTATTTTATCTTCAATTCTATTACGGGGTTATGATAATTACTATTGTCCACTAACATATTTTTTGAAAATTTAATTTATTCATTTTAAACATTAAATGATAGAATTGTATTGGTGCGTGGGCCCTCTTTGTCTCCTGGCAACCTATATTTTCAGACCCAGTCCGCCACTGTGATCGACCCGTTTGTACAATCAGCGGAAAGGTCGTGTCCCCAACATACTCCCCGTAATGTTTCGTTTGATTAGAGCTAGTCCCACTAAACATTGCTTTAATGGAAGCAAATTTCTGTTCCAAATTATGACTGGTCAATAGTCCGATTAACAACCAATAGCTAACTGCGTAACAATATGATTGCGCTTTAAACAAAGCTCCAAATTGGACCAAATATGTCTACATAACGTTACTTCATGACTCACGATTTTATTATGCCCAATTAACCAGTGCATAGCAGAATATTGCAGAAACAGTAATTGCGTGACAAACGAGGCTATCAACACCGATACAATGTAAACAATACTGTGTGTAGACGAACAAGATTTTTTAATACCTTAAATCACTGTCCAAAGTTTTCGGGAAGTCCCCAGATTAAACGAAGGGCGGCCATGTTGTTGTACTTGGGATAGATTTGATTGAACTGGAAGAATACACACACTCCCTCAAAAGCTCAAGTATCAGAAGCCAATCCAACAATGGGAAGAGAGGGATTTCTCGGGACATTGCTTCAGGAATATGTGTCCCCAATGATCGACCTGTTTGTACAATCAGCGGAAAGGACTCGGGTCCACAATGCGTTAGATCTTGCAACTAAAATGTTTATGAAATCCTTGTGTGGCATTTACTGATTGAGCACAAGCTCGCCAAGAAATGCTGCGTGTTCATGCATCGACTGTTTATTTTGCAGGTTTGCAGTAAGTGTCAGTTATTTTGGAATTATGTTAAATTTGGAGTCGTTAGTTGGAGATATATACTTGAATCTTGTTCTAGCAACGATTGTGGAAGCCAGTTGTTATATGGTAGTTTTATTAACAGTGGAACGGTTAGGCCGAAAAAGACTTCTGTGTGGCTGCTTTCTCCTGGGAAGTATAGCTTTAATAGCTGTAATACTAATTATATTATACGCACCATCAGGTATGACCAGAAGTATTTACTAACCATATCATGTCAAACTTCTAACTTTGTGGGGAGCCACGGTGGCTAAGTGGGTAAGACGTGTTCGGTCCCTGCATTGGCCGAGTAAGTTTATCGGGATTTCTCGACCTGGTTTCCCCTTGTCAGTGGTGCAGGACGAAGAGCCTGATAAGGACAGCTGTCTAGTCGTTCGGGTAAAACGAAAAACCGAGGTCCCATGTACACCTACATTGACAGTTGTAATTCGATATAAGAATAGGTCATAGTGCTGCTGCCCAGGTAAGATATTTCCCTCATAGTACACTGTATGGTGTATGCCCGTCTTTATTATCCCAGTCTGAGCAGATTAGTAGGACGGTAAACCACATTTCATTTCATGTCTAACTTTGTGCCTGTCGTTTGTCTATTCGAACTTACCGACTATACTAGGGCTGCCCTGGGACTGAAGGGTATCTTGACCGAGATGTGACATAGGCCTACTGGCATTAGCACTTCCGGTTTCATGAAACTCCTAAATGGCCGGTACTTTATCAAAATCCTTATTCAGGAGTATTTTAATAAGGGGGATATATTTTATAAACAGATCTACAGACAGGTCCTCATTATAGGTTTTATGATGCTGTTGAATTCGGCTAACTGTCAGATTATAGAAAACAATTTGTGGTTGGTTTTTTTTTCAGACCTCAAGTGGCTAATGACGTGTTTTACTCTCTTGGGTCAATGTGGAATTAACGGCGCTTTTGCCGTATGCTGGTTATGGACAAGTGAACTGTTCCCAACTGAATTAAGAAATGTTGGTATTGGTACAAGTTCTGCTTCAGCAAGAATAGGATCTGTAGTTGCACCTTATTTAAAACTTATAGTAAGCTATACCAATCTGATTAAAACACAGAACCTAAGAGTTGTTATATAAGCCGCGATCTGTGTGATGTGAAGGATTAGCCAATGAACGGTTCGTTGCAGTGAGTTATTGGCGTGAGGTGCACGGAACTGTGGGTAACCAATTAGAAACATCAACGCTGATTGGTTAATCAAATATATGACGTAATAGGTCAAAGGCCGCTCATATGACCTCTGACGCGATCTCCCACTACAACTGGCCAGATCTTCATGTAGTGTAGGCAATAAAAAGTATAAAAAAAAAACGAAACGAAATACGATTTGTTACGGCGAGTTTTTGGCTTGAGGTGCACAGAACTTTGGGTAAACCACTAGAAATCTCAACACTGACTGGTTAATCAAATGTCTGACGTCATAGGGTCAAAAGCCGCTTGTATGACCTGACGCGATCTCCCACTACAACTGGTCAGATCTTCATGTAGTGTAGGCCATTGAAAGTATAAAAAGTATAAAAAAACGACACGAAATACATAAGAGAGGTAGAGATACAAATAATATACTTTGTGCCTTTTTCTTCATTAGCCAGTAGGAGCAGAACAGTAGGACGTTAAACCCGGCGAATTCTTGGCGTTGGATGCACGTAACTGTGGTTAAACCACTTGAAACATCAACGCTGGTTGGTTAATCAAATGTCCCGATGAACTTTCTCGGCCGCAGACAGGAGCCTCAATATTTTGTATCATAGATATGTCACAAGCGCGACATACGATTTTCGCAGCTACGGTAAATCAACTAGGGGGCAAGTGACGGAATATGCTCCTTTTTACAGTTGATTCAAGGGTCTCAGTGACAGTTTAAGGCAGGGGTCCCATGCAATCTTTTTCCGGACGTACACTAGATTTTATTTGACCCTTATCTTTTCAGGCTAGTTTTATACCCGGTAGATCTGCAGAGGTTGCGCCGTTTATGCTTTACTGTATTGTTTGTATAATTGCTCTTGTGTTGACCTTATTTCTGCTGCCAGAAACATTTCATCAGAATCTACCAGATACTGTTGAAGATGCTGAACGATTAGGAGACGGGTGAGCTTGCCAGTATTGTTTCCTTACAGATAGCCCCCCTCCCAACTCACCCCTTCTCTTAACGTGTGGCCGTATTGAATGACATTCATGTCCGCAGTGGATTTTTTGTGACTGTATTGTCATTCTAACCAACCAGAAGTTCTTCAACATTTTGCTGTTCGGATCAAAGAAACGGAAGTGCGCGTTATATTTTCCACAATATTGTATTTTCAGTCCGTTTAATTTATCCATGAGTCTTCTTTTTCTGACGGAGCCGCGTTGACTCGGTAAGTAAGACATTGGCTTGCCAACCTGCAGGAGGTCTCATATGTGGTTTCCCCTTGCAGTGGTGCGGGACGGAGGGCCTGACAACGACAGCTGTTTAGTCGTTCGAATGGAACGAAAAACCTAGATCCCGTGTACATATTGGCGTGCACGTAAAAGATCCCTTGACGGTTTGAATTTGATATAAGAGTATGCCCATTTTGTTTCATTTCATTTCTTTTTTCTGACAAATTAAAGATACATTATGGGAGATTAGATAACGAGTTGGCAGTTCGATTATCCATTTAATCATTAAATCGTGAAGGAAAGTTATGCAGTAAATCGGCTCATAATCCACTAAAGATCAGGTTAGCGATACCATCGAGAGTAGATTATGGTCTGGATAGGTTAATTAATGTCTAATTAATAATTTAGATAACATTTTGGGCCTAAAGAAAGACCTGCAGTAGACAGATTTTGCTCTTGTATAATGTATGTTTCACTTTGATCAGTTTAGACGAATTCTGAGACACAAAATACAAAAGTTGTTGACATTTGATAATAAACTTCCGTTTCCGGTGGATTAAGTTACGCATGCGTGAAGATAACTTCCGTTGCCAGGGACGCGAGCTGTCAGTTGTTTATGGATACGAAGAGGAATGTGGACAGTAATTGATGAAACGTGATGTGATAGTATATTTGATAATAGAAAGATAAACAAAGTAACCTCCATGGACGGTAAAAAAAAAATCAATTAAACATGAGCATGTGACAAAGGATCACGAACTTGCTTCCGTCAAACTTTTTATAATTTGTCCCTGACAATATTATTGTTGAACCAAAAAATGATTCCCAGGCATTAATCATCTTGTTGTTGTTATGTGTGGCGACGCTCTTCGTTAAAGGGGGTGCGCGCTGTATCATAAGGTCAGTCATTGAGTTAACAGATGTGGTTTAGATTCCTCGGTTGTGCGTAACAAGGAGAAGGGGTGCCTGTCCAACCTCGTGGGTCTTCTCCGGGTTCTCCTGTTATCATCTAACTGCTAAAGACCCTAAGCGCAGGCGAATTATTGAAATAAAATTGAACCATATGTTAGTTCCGAAATGACCTGGTTTGTGTCGAGTGAACGTTAAGTCCCATCTCTCTCTCCCCATCTCTCTCTCTCTCTCTCTCTCTCTCTCTTCGTTAAAAGCTAGGCTCCACTAAGTGATGTATGATCGACATTACACTTGACATGCTTGTTCTTTAGACACTTGCGCATCGATTGAA